GATCCTTAATGCTGTGTCATTGAGAAAAAGGAGACAACTAGAGGAAGTTCTATCTAAAAAGAGGAAACAAGTGACTTTTAATGAGATGCCAGCCACTGTAGAATCAACATCAGAGAAAGCCAAGGAGCCAGAGAAGCCGGCTGGAGAGGCTGTGGCTGAGCAATCCCCACAATTGGTTGCAAGGCCACCACCTCCATTCCCTCAAAGACTGCAGAGATTACGAGATCATGCCGCATATAAAAAGTTTCTTGATATCTTGAAGCAGGTACAAATTAATATTCCATTGGTTGACATCTTACAGGAAGTACCCAAATATGCACAGTACATCAAGGACATTGTGGCGAATAAAAGGAGGCTGACCGAGTTCGAGACTGTGGCACTCACTGAGGAGTGCAGTTCCAGAATTCAATGCAAGTTACCTCAGAAATTGAAGGATCCAGGTAGTTTCACTATCCAAATCACGATTGGTAAACATGTTGTTGGGCGAGCTCTATGTGACCTTGGAGCAAGCATCAATTTGATGCCGCTATCTATATTCAGACAGTTGGGGTTGGGTGAACCACGCCCAACCACAGTTATCTTACAGTTAGCTGACCGCTCCCTTGCTCATCCTGAGGGAGTAATTGAAGATGTGCTTGTCCAAGTGGGGTCTTTTATATTCCCAGCTGATTTCATCATCTTGGATTACGAGCCTGATCAGGAAGTCTAATTTATTTTGGGGCATCCATTCTTAGCCACGGCCGAGCTATTATTGATGTTTTTGAAGGAAAGATAACGATGAGAGTGGGTGATCGAGTGGAGGTCTTCAATGTTAATAGAGCACTCAAGTTACCAGCCCACTATGAAGAGTTGTCCATGATCTCTGTGGTAGAAGGTGATGCCACGTCGTTAGTACCTTATATGAGCCCTGCAGATCCTATTGAACGTGTATTGATTGGGGACGTAGAGAATGGTGAAGATGAAAGGATGGGAGAAATAGAGCAAGTGCTGGATATGTCCTGCTGTTATGTACATGGGGTTAGAAAATTTGAAGAATTGGACAGGCCTGTCACTCTGACCCTCCCCAGGACATCTATTGAAGAGGCTCCGAAGCTAGAACTCAAGCCACTTCCAGCGCATCTGCGCTATGCTTATTTGGGTAACTCAGAGACACTGCCCGTGATTATTTCATCCAGCTTGACCAGCACTCAAGAAGAAAAATTGCTCAGAGTCCTCCGTGAGCATAAAAGGGCCATTGGGTGGACAATAGCTGACATCAAGGGAATTAGTCCATCGTTTTGCATGCATAGAATCTTTCTAGAGGACGAACACCGCCCCAGTGTAGAGCAGCAAAGGAGATTAAATCCCATTATGAAGGAGGTGGTGAAAAAGGAAGTAATCAAGTTGCTCGATGCAGGTATCATTTTTCCTATTTCTGATAGCAATTGGGTAAGCTCGGTTCAATGTGTGCCTAAAAAGGGAGGAATGACTGTAGTTGAGAACGAGAAGAATGAGCTAATCCCCACTCGCACTGTTACGGGCTGGAGAATCTGCATTGATTATAGAAGGCTCAATAAGGCAACTCGCAAAGATCACTTCCCACTCCAATTTATCGATCAAATGCTAGACAGGTTAGCCGGGCATGAATATTACTGCTTCCTTGATGGTTATTCAGGATACAATCAGATTGTCATATGCCCAGAGGACCAGGAGAAGACTATTTTTACTTGTCCTTATGGAACCTTTGCCTTCAAGCGAATGCCATTTGGTCTTTGTAATGCACCAGCCACTTTCCAGAGATGCATGATGGCTATTTTCATCAACTTGGTGGAAAAATTCGTGGAAGTGGTTATGGATGATTTTTCAGTTTTTGGGTCTTCTTATTATGATTTCTTGAGGAATTTAAGCAAGGTGCTGGCCCGTTGTGAAGAAACAAATCTGGTACTAAATTGGAAAAAGTGCCATTTTATGGTACAAGAGGGCATCGTGTTGGGTCACATAGTATCTAGGAACGGCATTGAAGTTGATAAAGCAAAGGTAGAGGCGGTTGCAAAATTACCTCCACCTATCTCAGTGAAGGGTGTCCGGAGTTTCTTGGGACACGCGGGTTTCTATCGGCGTTTTATTAAAGATTTTTCAAAAATTGCCACTCCCTTGTGCAGGCTGCTTGAAAAAGATGTCTCTTTCAATTTTGATGATTCTTGCCTCAACGCATTTGAGGAACTTAAAAAGAAGTTGGTGACTGCCCCCATTATTGTGGCACCTGATTGGTCTCTACCATTTGAACTTATGTGTGATGCGAGTGACCTTGCTATTGGGGCAGTGCTAGGCCAGAGGAAGGACAAGATGTTTTATTCCATCTACTATGCGAGTAAGACTCTTGATGATGCACAGCAGAATTACACCACCACTGAGAAGGAGTTGTTAGCCGTTGTGTGGGCCTTTGAGAAATTCCGGGCATACTTGGTGGGAACGAAAGTCATAGTTCATACGAACCATGCAGCAATCAGGTATTTGTTATTAAAAAAGGAATCCAAAGCTCGTTTGATGCGCTGGGTTTTGTTGCTGCAGGAATTTGATGTTGAAATACGAGATCGAAAGGGGACAGAGAACCAAGTAGCTGATCATCTATCACGGTTGGAAAATCATGATCACGTGGAGGAGGGT